AATCAAAGTAGGTTTGAAGTTTTAAACGCAGTTTTTAGGCTATTGATCAAGATCAACGGTGAACATACCGTGATATAAATCCCCACCAGAGATAGCTACTACTGACCTATAACAGCAGTGAGTCACATGAAAAGCGTATCTTAGTTACATGCAAACACTGAAAAATAGACAATTAGCGAATTTTCGGCTAGTCAAGGGAGGCATATCAGTTTGAGGTTCTTGCTTTTCATCGAAAAAAATAAAATAAAATTTCAGCATGAACAAAAGCGCCCATTTATTTTCCGCTAATGCATAGAGAACACAATCACACTCAGCAGTGCAAGTAAAAGCACCGTCGTGGTCACAAAGCCCGCAATCCCACAAATGAACTTACCCATCTTAATTGCATCGCTAATTATATCCAGGATCTTGGTTATAAGCAAGGAGTTGCACGGAGATTCCTGAAATAAATTATCGACATTTACCTTTAGAAATAAGCAACCAATTCAGTCAAAACAACAAAGAGATAAGTAAGCAATCAATCGATGCTTATTATCAGAATTAATGACAATAATAAGTAGAAATTAGTAATAGGAAGATAGGAAGTAATTACTTATCTCCAGCCATGAATAGAAATTACCTGGGACGGAGTATGCAACTGAGCTAAAGCCAATGTTCCCTCATCCAGACCTAGAAGTTAGAAAAAATGTTAATAGGGAAATTAATGACTTGGTATCAATTCAAGAAGGAAGCTAGACATATTTAGTCTGCATTGGTTGCAAATTAAGCCTCAGTCGTAGAAACTAAGGAGAAGAGAAGAGGGTATGACTTAAGACCCACCTCCACCCTCCCCCTCCCCACTTCCTCCTTATCCATCAACTTCAATTTGAAAGACCTTGCTCCTACTTGTGTTTAGATGTCTCCACCACGCTTACTAATTGTCATATGCAATAATGGCCTTTGCATAGGGAATCACGCAAACACGAAGCAGATGAAAAATAGACTTGCATTTAAAAGAAAACCCGAAAATAAAACAAGGGCTTAGATAAATTTGGTTTACCATGACAACAAAGAGAGCGCAGGAAAGTTACACGAGTTTTCAAATAACATCCACCTCCCCCCCCACCCTCCCTCCCTTCCTCACTCCGAAAATAAATGTCAAAGGTTGCTACCCGTATATTTCCACTTCGTCAATGAACATTTGGAGAAAGAAGGGGAAAAAGAGTTGGGAGAATTTCAAATACCGAGGGTCATGCACAAAATAATAACCCACGTGACAAATAAATTTCCAAGGAAAATTAACTTAATTTTTTAGCATGAAAAGGTGCATCCGATTATTAAAAATGACATAATATCATGAAAGGAATAAAAAATTATACTCAAATTCTAATAAATTAATCTTGAAAGTACTACCAAAATATACCCCATTCTCGTGATTTGTCGAATAAGTCTTTCATTTACGCTGATACTGTAGTAAAGTGCAACGAAAATGGCAGAGCCAGTTAGTGAGTCACCAACGTTTGGAATGAAATCAATAAATAGACGTGTGTGTGTGCAGACAGAATACAATTAAACCCAGAACAATAGAAGTCTAGAATTTTGCAAAGTATTCACAAAAGAGTAGTCTTTGTAGTGGTTTTCGTAACCCATTTCAATGCTAACCATTACCACTCTATGCGGTGCAGCCATGGTTACCATTGATAATCTTAGCTACCTACGATTAGCTTTTAAAAAAATACAAGAAAACTTGACTTTCATGATCGACCACGGATCTAAATTAACCGATCAAAAGAGCTGTGAGAACTGATCCCATCTATGATAGGGGAGAGTGGCTACAGAAGCATCAGATGCGTGAAATAATAAAGAAGAGACAGTCCACCAACCTCCATTGCGTTTGATGGCAATAAGAAGTGAGAGGGCAAAGAAAGTATCGTAGTCCGTGCCTGGTCCCACCTCAAGACTACGAAAGAGAGATCGCAAAAATGGACGTTTTGCCAGTGTGAATCCACTATTGGTGCCTTCAGAAGACGCAGCATCAGTTGCCGGTGGAGAGGAAGAATTTGCCCTTTGAAGACGTGGAGTGAGTGGTGACATGCCTGGCGGTGGCATTGCGATTTGAGACGTGAGTTCTAAATAAACAAGTTTATTACAAACATTAAAAGTGATAAGCAGCATCGAATATAATGAGCGAAGATACTAGGGTGTAAAGCATTAACCACGGGGTAAAACATGGCCAATTTGAGCAGTTCATTATATAGTAAAGTCTTTAAGTACTAAAAGTATGAATGTTCCCTTTATGTCAATGCTTTCATGATAAGTTTTATAGACCCATCAGAAAAAGGCCACGGTAACTGGAAAATGTAATTGATAAAAAAAATAAATCGTGCGGCCATAAAAATCTATTACAGCCTTGATCCACCCTCGGCCCGAAACCTGATAAGTCTCAAAAACTGACTTTATTCTGCCTATTAACTGGCTCTCACAATACTGACACGTCGACAAGCGATCCACCCCCCCCCCCCCCCCCCCCCCCCCCCCCACCCCTACGCCACCCCAAACATATTAGCCCATCAGGTTACGATGTGAAGAGGGCAATTTGAAGGCCAAACATTAGGACTGATTTAGTCGTAACATTTTGACATTTCCCTGTGATGTGGAAGAGACCGAATCATGCTGCCACCATCGATATAGCCAATTATTGGCTGCCCTCGTTCGCTATTCAGGGCTTGACCACTATAGTAGTCAGTAATTCCATGTAGGCATCTGAGTTAGACCCAAGCCTAATGCAGAAGGGAGGTACTATGTTTGCCCTGGAAGAGGGCACATCCAAAAACCATGACAGTCTTGAGAAATTGAATATACCTAACTCGAAGCGTCCTCTGGACTGTTTGAAAGCCGCCTTTTATTCTGAGCGTTATGATCTTGACAATGGGAGAAGCCTTTCACATTGGAAAATAACAAGACTGTTTGCGCATCAACAGGGTGCTTCACGTTGCATTTAAGTTTCTTGGCTGTTGTCAGACGATTTTTGAAAATCTTTCCTATGAGAAATCGACTTCGGCGACGCTTGTATGAGCTTATAGAAAAAAGGTCATTATTGAACGCAGGCCTCATTGTAGAGGCTGGAACATTAAATTCAATTATGGCGACAAAGTCTAGATTCCAATACCAAAGTAAGCAAACACTTTTGAACAAATTTTCGTGGAAATCTGATAAGCAAGATCATTTGCTGTGTTGTCTATTCTAACCACAGCAGTCTTCAAGTCTTCTTGCAATTTATCTAGTCCATGAGGGTTCATTTTCATTATGTTCAGGTAGCATTTTAGTAACGACCATAATCTAATGTTAATGCACACTGTGAATCATGCTACAAGTTGCTCTCTTCCATGATTCAGGGGGCTTTGTCAACCATCCTCATTGTCATTGTACATGCTAACGAAGATGGGGTTTCAACTCTTAGAGGAACCTTTGTTTACCTCAGCACCTTTAATACATTGGGGAAAAACAACCAACTATTCCTCCGGAAGACTTATCCCAAATTCATTGCATACTGGGGGAAAGCAGAAATTCCCTAAGGATAGCCATTTATTTAGGTATTTCGGGGTGTGCGATAGACTTAGCTCCACGTGGTACACCCTAAGCAACGTATACTCATACGGCAAAAAAGTCTATTAACCGGCAGTTGACATCTCACTTCAAACTAACACTGTATGTCATATTCGACCCCTTTCACAGTACTCACCTCACCTTTTTTTCTACCTTCGTCTTTGAAACACTCTTCTGTTCCCCCTCCCCCACCACGTCTGGACTTTTTTTCACTTTGATGTTCCTTCCCCTCTGTGAAGCCTGAAGTCAACTAAAGGGCTAATGATAACCATCAAGACGCCTGCCATTTGATATAAATTTATTTATCTCAGCAAGTTCTACAAACAATTAATGCCATCAGTAATAAAGGC